CTGTTACGTGGATCAGCAGCATAGGGTAACGGATCACTTGGGCATGGAGCAACGACAGTTGTTTCCCCTGGGATGGGGTTTGCATTGAACGGACCAGATTCCTCAACTGGGACTGTGCTGGTATGCTGCACGTGGGATGCTGCACATGAGATGTGTGGGATGCTGGGATGAGAGTTGCCGCAGGAACACTGCCATCGCCGTGGTCCGCAGCGCCTCTCATGAGCCTCCAGGTCGGCCGGCAGGCAGAACGACTTGCTGCCGCACCGCGAGCACAGCAGCGCCTTGCCCGCGTGTGTCAGTCGGTTGTGGTTCCGCAGTGACGCCTTCGACTTGAACGCGCGGAAACCTGGATGCTGCTCGTATTACGGTTTGGTCGCCTGGGGTCCACTCCTCTGCTGATTTCTCCTCGTCATCCCCCCCGCCTTCCATGTTCCCCTGCAGATCAACACCTATTCCAGGAAGCAGCACTCGACCGCACAAACTGCTTCTTTCTTTGGCTGTTTCGACACAGCATATGGCCTTTACACCAGGTTTGCTTCGCATGCGTCGCCACGCTCTCTTTTCCTCTCGACCATGATCAAACTCTCTGCGCTTCAAGTATCGAGTCGCGCATCGATGTTGCACCCACCGCCTCTGCCCGTGCCTTCTCAGGCTCAGCAACTGTCGAGCTGGTTTTCAGGTTTGGAGAAATCAAGGTTGCTGCTTTTGGAGAAGCAGCAGTGTGTCTGCGGCGGATGGACCAAGCACAGCGTTGTTTCTACATTAAGCATTTTATTTGTTTCTTGTTTTCCTAATACTGTTTTTTCACCTTAGAAATCTAGACGGCTCTTGTTGTTCTTCGAGACAACTCTTGTTCCGTTCCTTGCTCTTCAGTTTCACATGCCACACCACCCTCCTGTTCGTGTTTCAACTTGAGAATCTTCAGCGCTACTACCGTATTCTCCCGGACATAACACCCTAGGGTAGATTAAAAAATACAGGAAAAAAAGGGGGGTGTCTTCTCATAGGAAAAAGCTACATAATACCCGGGTGCATATATATGGTATATTTTAGTGTTAGAGTTTTATTATTCGACAATTTGAGTGTTTCCATGGGCTTTTTAACATCACATGTTGAGGCGCGAATGTGAGTTTCGACGCCAACGTCACCACCCACCCCGAAAAGGTCATTTGGCACCTCTCTGGCCACCTGCAGCGGAAGATTCGCCAGCACGTGGCGACAGCGAAATAATGGGCGGCGGGGAATCTCGGCAGATTTGATGTGAAAGAACCGGGAAATTTCACCGAGCGAGAGATTTTCGCGATATACTCCCGTACTTGCACCTACTCGTTAACAGCTATAATATAGAATCCGTAAGAAAAGGGGGGTGTTATAAAAAATCATCCAAAAAGGGGGGTATAGTGAAATCGAGGTCGCCCATAGCACCCACCCCGCACAAGCTACCCGGGGGTGCTCTATCATGGGGGGATGTTTTGTCCGCGAGAATACGGTAATTTATTTTCCTCGTTTGCATCTACCTTATCCCATGACAGAAGACGATATTGGCGTGGCGAAATCGCCCGCGGCAATTTGGGCATGGCGATATTGGCGTGGCGATTTCGGCGCGGAGATATGGGCGTGGCGAGATGGGCGTGGCGATATGGGCGTGAGGCGTGGCGATGTGTGGGATGGCGTGCGGGTTGCGGCAGCGTTGTTACTAAAGTAAGCACTATGCATAGTTTCTGTTGAATGGTCTTCAAATACTAACGGTGTATGAACATGTCGCGATTTTGCAGGCTACAACGTTTTCTGTGCAGAATGTGCGATTTTTTTTTTTTATCAACTCCATTCGGTATTGGCAAGTAGTGGCTGAACCCTGGTACGTACGTGGAGCAGTGTTGATTATTGACCCTTGTTTTGCAGGGGTGTGTTTATCGTTTGCAGCTGCAAGGCCACTTAGAATAGACGTACCGTATTCCCCCGGATATACCACCCTAGGGTGCTATGATAACTACACAAAAAAAAAGGGGGGGGGGGGGGGGGGGGGGTCTTGTCATCGGAAAAAGCTACATTGCACCCGGGTCTTTACATAATGTATATTTTTTTTATAGCGTAAAACGTTTAGTACTAAATGTACATCTGTGCCGTGGTGGTAGATTGCTGGTTGGGTGCGCAAAACCGAGGACTGGGCGAAAACATTTTGCGCGAGGGTTAGCTGCCACATTGCAAGCTCCAACAAGGCCCACTGTCAGGCCCTGATTGGACGAAATCACACCCCCTCGTCGCACGACGAGGATTCATGCAGGTGACAATGGCGGAGTCCCCGCAACAGCCTCGGTTGGCCCGCTGGGCGGGCACGTCATTGAACTGTAGATGGATTATCATTGGAAACCCTGTGCTACTTAGGCAAAAACTGCAATTATACCCGTACATAACACCCCCCCCCCCCCACCCGTGGTGCTATATAGGATGCCCCCAAAAGGGGGGGTATAGTAGAAACGAGGCCCGCTATAGCACCCCCCCCGCACAAGCCACCCGGGGGGTGCTCTATTTCGGGGGGTGGTATGTCCGGGGAAATACGGTACGGTACCACGTGAATGTTATTCGAACATAGCGTTTGCTACCTCTGTATGCGTAGGATGTCTATTTGTAACGGTCTATAAAATTATTTGTTTTCACTGTGTTTAACAAGCAAGTGTTCGTAACCTGGAATCGTAATTCAAATGCAATAAATGAGGCCAAAATTTGCTGTCTAAGCACTTGGCATATACTATGTACCTACTCTATGTTTGCTAAGGGAGGGGTTTCAGAGTAAATTTAGATTGTACACTATATCGTTACTATGTATTTATCGGAGTATGTACGATGTGGTTACCCTATTTCCACCCCCTATCGGGATTCGAAGTAAAATGTTTGTATTAGAACCTGTAAGTACATTGTAGCCGACTGTACTGTAGGTACATCGAACATCGCATGCAGCCACGGGGTGACTACAATGTAGCTCCAGCGGAATTATTTGGGATGCCCTTCCCACGGCTCCCCCGTCACCTCCACCCACTTCCCAACATCCGCACCCCCCATCTCCACATCCCCAGCGCGCCTTTGCCGGTCTGAAGTCAGAAAAGGTCTCTGGGTGGCGACTATTAGACGCTAAGGACCAGGTACGCTAGTGACATTCGCATAGGGCCAAGGCATTTCTCTACAGATGCTTGGCTGGCCTCCTGGCCTCCTGAAGCAGTGCTTCAAGAAAAGAACAGGCCCATCTCCATGCAGCGGGCTCCTTGCTGCGTTCGTGCGTTTATGCTTCACCCACCCCCATTCACTCCCTGCCTTTTCACCCTCCCCGAATCCCTCCTCTCCTCCTCCCTGCCTCCCTGCAATGCAGACGCTTCATCGCCAGATGGCCAGGCTGTCAATGGTAATGCCTCTCCTCCGCTTCGTTGTCCCATGCGACCAGGCTGTCAGTGGTGCTGCAGTGAATCGGCAAGCCCATCTACTCGCCATGCTGCTTGCATGCCTCATCCACCACCCCCATTCAACCTCACTTGCTCATTCGTGCCCTGCCCCGTGCCCTGCCCCTCCGCCGTTTTGCTCCCTTGCCTCCCTGCCATGCAGGTGCGTGGTCGCCTGGCGCCCCTATTCAGGGGAAAGCTGGCAGATCCTGGAACGGCTGAGTGCGGCAGAGAAAATCAGAAGCCGTCTTGCAGCTCAGGAAAGAGCTCCTCAAGAGCGATTTCCCAGCTGCCCTGTGCCATTCTCAGGGACCTTGTGAGTGAGGAGGCAGCTAAGCCTGAACGCTTGAGAGCTGCAGAGAATCAGAAGCTGTCTTGCAGCAGGAAAAATGGCTCCCCAGGGCTCTAAAAGTCGTCTTGCAGCTCAGGAAAGAGCTCCTCAAGAGAGATTCCCCCTGTTGCCCCTGTGGCATCCTCAGGGGCCCCGTGAATGAGGCTGTAAAGGGCGGTTGGGAGGCTACACTGTGGGCTTGGCAGGCTGTGGTGGGAAGGTGGAGGGTCAGATGGCTCTTGGTTTGACTCAAAAGCCACTTGATGACTAGGGCTTCGAAGCTGGGGTGGAATTTCAGTTGACCCTTGAGTTGAATCAAGGGTCACTTTGGTGTTCCAGCTAGGGTGGCGTGATGGAAACGTAGTTGACTGTAGGGTTGACTCGGGATGTCCAGTGGCTGCTGGAGTGGAATCAGGAGAAACCTTTTGGGTTAATCCATGGTGGTGCTGGGATGAAGGGTCAGTAGTGGTTAGTGCATAGGAGGCTGGCAGAGAGTTGTTGGACCAGGTGGGTTGTTGTTAACCCAGGTCGATTGTTGGTTAGTCCTAGTGGATTGTTGGTTAGTCGAGGTGACGTCTTGGTTAGCCCAGGTGAGATGTTGGTGGTGGAAGGGTGGCGAGTTTTCCTGGCTGGCTAGCTGCTGCAGTTTTGGCCGTTCCACCTCTTTTTGCATCTGCTGCTGCATCTGATGCTGCACCTGCTGCTGCACCTGCTGCTGCACCTGCTGCTGCTGCTGCTGCTGCTGCTGCTGCACCTGCTGCTGCTGCTGTTGCTGTTGTTGCTGTCGAGGCTGCAGCTGCATAACTGGTTGCTGCTGTTGCTGCTGCTGCTGCACCAGCTGTTGCTGCTGCTCTTGCCGCTGGTGGTTTGCTAGGCCCTGCTGCACCTTCTGCCTCTGCGGCCACACTTGCGGTTGCTGCTGCTGCTGCTTTCGCTGAGGTTTTTGCAGTTGTTGTGGTTGCTGCTCGAGTTGCTGGTCCTGCCAGTGCTGCTGTTGCTGCTGTTGCTGCTGCAGCCGTTGCTGTTGCGACCGTTGCTGCTGCTGCTGCTGCTGCTGCTGCTGCTGCTGCTGCGCTGCTGCTGCTGCTGCTGCTGCTGCTGCTGCTCCTCCTCCTCCTCCTCCTCCTCCTCCTCCTGCTGTTGGTGCTGAAGGTGCTGGTCCAGCTGATACTGTTGCTGTTGCGGTTGCTGTTGCTGCTGAGATTGTGATTGCTGCTGCTGACGCAGCGCCAAGAGAATCAGCTGACACGAAACCTTAAGGGCCTCATCCCCCCCGAATCGATAATCTCCTGACACGTTGCCTCCAGCAGCGCTGACACGTCAGCGTCGCGGTCCAATGTTGACAGGTCAGCGTTGTGATCCAATGTTGACAGGTCAGCGTTGCGATCCAATGTTGACAGGTCAGCGTTACGATCCAATGCTGACAGGTCAGCGTTGCGATCCAATGTTGACAGGTCAGCGTTGCGATCCAATGTTGACAGGTCAGCGTCACGATCCAATGTTGACAGGTCAGCGTTGTAATTTGACATTGACAGCTCAGCACCACCACGTGATTTATGACCCTGTGCTTCCACTATCGGCAGACCGGCCCTGGGCCAAGGCTGTGCTTGCAGTTGGGCGTTTGACCGTACTGGCTGTGTTGACTGTGTTGACTGCATGGACTGTAATGACTGTTCTGGCAGCAGGGGCTGCGCAGGTGGAGAGGCCTGCATAGGCCAAGTTGACTGCCTTGACTGCATTGACTGCACTGATTGCCTTGACTGCGTTGACTGCATTGACTGTGCAGGCTGGAGTGGGGTTAACACTTGGACAAGCTGTGTGGGCAACTGGGCTGGCAGAGGCAGAGGCGACACCTGTGCTGCCTGTGGGGGGAGGGGAGGGTGCTGTTGCTGCAAAGGGAGGGATGGGTGTTGCTGGAGCAAGGATGGGGAGGGATGCGGCTGCAGCAAGGGTGGGGCACCTTGTTCCACGGGCATGGGTGCCTGCAGGGGTGGCACAGGCATATTCAATGGCTGCGTGGCGACAGCTGCGAATGCGAGTATCTCGTGTTCGTGTGTATTGTGAATTATGGAGGCTTGTCGACCCTGCTGGTTCTGATGATGCTGCTGTGACTGCTGGGGTTGCTCGATCTGCTGATGATGCATGTGGTGAGATGGCCGACCACTCTTAAAGCCCTCGGCTTGCAAGGGGCGGCGCTCTTGGTCTGACTGAACAGCCCCCTGCAGCAGCGACCCGTTCCGACTCCTGCTCTCCCTCCCGTCTGAACCAATCCCTCTCAACTCGTTGCTCTCCAGCGCATTTCTCTCTAAAGCGTTTCCCCCCCAAGGATGGTTCCTCTGAGAAGCACAGCTAGCAGAGCGCGCCAGGTGCCCGGCAGGAGCATGTGGTTGAGTCGACTCAAGGATCCCCAGGTCACTGGCAGGAGACTGATCCGTGACAGCCACATTCATGTAGCTGGCGCTCTGAGGTGCGTCTAGCAACTTCATTTGCGCCTCTAGCTGACTCGTCTGCTCCTCCAACTGGTTCGTCTGCTGCTCTAGAAGCTTCATATCCGCCTGTAGCTGATTCGTCTGCATCTCAAGCTGATTTGACGCCCCTGCCTGCTGCGTCTGGGCCTGCAGTGTCTGTCTCCTCTGCCGCGCCTTCTGCTTTTGCTGAATGGGGACGGCAACTGGCTGGAGGTTGAAGAGAGGCGAGTGTTCCGTGAAAACGTCGAGGTGGCTGAATAGTTTGTCCTTTCTGCTGAAGGAGTTTCCACAGGAGCAGTGCCACCGCTTTACACACACCGCACCGCTTCTCGTGTGTTCGCAGGTCGGCCTGAAGGGCAAAGGACTTGACCTGAAGGGATAGGGGGGGTAGAAGGGGGGAAGAAAAGGAGAGTGAGTGAGTTCCCACAGGAGCAGTGCCACCGCTTCATACTGCACCGCTTCTCGTGTGTTTGCAGGTCGGATTGAAGGGCAAAGAACTTGACCTGAGGGGAAGGGAGAGGGGAAAAGGGAGGGTTTGCCATGCATACGGAGGTGGTGGGTTTGCAGCAAGGCAAGGGTCCAGGCTACTTGCTGGGGAGAGCAGAGAAGAGGACAGAAGAGTAAAGTGAACTCAGAGGCTTGTTGCCATGCACACGGAGAGGAGAGGAGAAGAGAGAGAGGAGAAGAGAGGAGAAGAGAGGAGAAGAGAGGAGAAGAGAGGAGAGGAGAGGAGAGGAGAAGAGAAGAGAGGGAGAGGAGAGGGAGAGGAGAGGAGAGACAAATGAAAGAGTTGTTCACCTGGCATCGGGAGCAGGTGAAGGGCTTGTTGCCATTCTCGCGAAGGTGGTGGGTTTGCAGAGAGGCAAGGGACTTGAGTGGGCGGGGGGAGAGGAAGAAACAGGACAGGACAGGAGAGTAAAGTGGAAGGTGGTTCACCTGACAGCGGGAGCAGGTGAAGGGCTTGGTGCCGTGCACGCGGAGGTGGTGGGTGTGCAGCGAGGAGAGAGACTTGAGTGGGCGGAAACGAAAGTGCTGCTCGTTGTGCTGGCAGCCGGGCTCGGGGCAGGAGAAGGCTGTGGGGGCAGAATCTGTAAGGGTGAGGACCGAGAGGGAGGGGAGAGATGGACAAGGGAAGAGGATGAGACAAGGGAAGAGGATAAGACAAGGGAAGAGGATAAGACAAGGGAAGAGGATAAGACAATGGAAGAGGGTAAGACAACGGAGAAAATGAGGGTTGTGCTCGCTGTGCTGGCAGCCTGGCTGTGGGCAGGAGAAGGCTGTGGGGGAGGAGAGAAGGCTGTGGGGGAGGAGAAGGCTGTGGGGAGGAGAAGGCTGTGGGGGAGGAGAAGGCTGTGGGGAGGAGAAGGCTGTGGGGGAGGAGAAGGCTGTGGGGGAGGAGAAGGCTGTGGGGGAGGAGAAGGCTGTGGGGGAGGAGAAGGCTGTGGGGGAGGAGAAGGCTGTGGGGGAGGAGAAGGCTGTGGGGAGGAGAAGGCTGTGGGGGAGGAGAAGGCTGTGGGGGAGGAGAAGGCTGTGGGGGGGAGGGGGGGAGGAGGGTGGGGGAGGAGAAGGCTGTGGGGCAGGAGAAGGCTGTGGGGGAGGAGAAGGCTGTTGGAGAGGGGAAGGCTGTGGGGTAGGAGAAGGCTGTGGGGGAGGAGAAGGCTGTGGGGGAGGATCTGAGGGGGTGGTGGGAGATGAAACGGAGTGGGAGAGGGAAGAGGAGAGGAGAAAGATGAGACAAGGGAGAGGTGAGGTTGCTGCTTGCTGTGGTAGAAGCCTGGCTCGGGGCATGTGAAGGCTGTGGGGGAGGTGGAAGAGGAGGAGAAGCAGAGGAGAGGAAGAAGAGAGAAAGGGGAGAAGTGGACAAGGGATGGAGCGCGGGTGTTGCTTGCTGTGCTGGCAGCTGGGCTATGGGCAGGCGAAGGCTGTGAGGGAAGAGCTGAAGGGGGTGGGGGCGGTGGTGGGAGGGAGGCAGGGAGGTCGGGAGGTTGGGAGGAAGAAAATGACCGAGAGAGGCGGAGCGGGAGAGCTGGTAGGCTGGAGTTTGGTAGAGACGTGGTATGGGTAACTCAGTTACCTCTAAAAAAAAGCACATGTAGGAGCAGCAGCGCAAGTAGGGGCGGGCACCTTGTAACCCAGAGATTGTCGGAGCGGGAAGGGAAGCCGGACGAGCGTCCAGGCCGGTCCGAAGCCACCTGCTTTGATCCTGCTCTGTATGGCCCTCGTGTTGCCTCCTGCTTTATTCCCACCCTCGCATCCCCTCTCGTTGCCTCCTGCTTTGCTTCTGCCCTGGGTGCCCTCGTGGTAGCCTCGTGCTGTTCGTGTGCGTGGGCTACCCCTGCTGTAGCCCAGTCAATTGCCGACAGGCTAGAATCAGAGCGAAGATTTTCCTGCATTAGCTCTTGTGCTGCTGTTGGTGCTGCCGCTGCTGCTGCTGCTGCTGCTGCTGCTGCTGCTGCTGCTGCTGCTGGTGGCGCTGCTGTTGCTACCACTGACGGCGCCTCTGCTGCTGCTGCTGCTGCTGCCGCCGCCACTCCTCCCTGTCCCGCTCCCCCTCCCAGCGACATGCTCTCTTGAAGCGCAGCCTGTAGCTGCAGCAGCAGCTGCTCCATCTTCTTGCGTTTTCGAGGAGTCACCTCCCCCTCACGCTGCTCCCCATCACCCTGCTCCCCGTCCCAATGCTCCCCCTCGTGCTGCTTGCGCTTCTGCCCGGCTTCCCTCGCCAAGCTACCCTTTTCAGCGGGCTCTTCACTGTGAGGCCTTGTTTGGGGAGCATTGAGTCGCTTTTGAGACATCTCAAAAGCCTTTAGTCGCTCCTTGATGATCGAGTAACTTAGACCTGAGAATTGTGGCCGCGGTAGCACCTCCTTGCCTCCTTCTGCTCCCACTTGCAGTCGCCCCCTCTCCTGCAACCTATCCTGCTCCTCCTTGCATCCCCTTCCTCCACCGCGCCTACTCCCTCTTCCTCTTCTTTGTCATCTGCCTCTCCTTTCTCCTCCTCCTCCTCCTCCTCCTCCTCCTCCTCCTCCTCCTCCTCCTCCTCCTCCTCCTCCTCCTCCTCCTCCTCTTCCTTTTCCTCTTCCTCTTCCTTTCCTCTCTTCCTCTTCCTCTTCCTCTCTTCTTCCTCTTCCTCTACCTTTTTATTCCCCATACCCTCATCATTGTCGTCGTCACCATCATCATGATCCCCCCCCTCATCCCCTCCCTCCACTTCCTCCTCTTTCTCTTCACCCCTGCTGCGTCTACCTCCCTCACTCTTCTCGCCCCTATCCTCCTCATCCCTACCTGCTTCATGTCTCCAAGCCATCAGACCCGAACCTTCCTTACTCCCTCGATTCATCAGAGCCTGGTTTGGCGAAGATTGGTTCGGCAGAATCTGGCTCGGCAGGCCCTGCCTCCGCAGAGTCGACGCAACGTGCAGGTTGGGCAGCAGAGGGAGCAGGGGAAGGAGAGCGCGGTGCTGCTGGTGGGGAGGCAGCAGGCTGGCAGCAGCCAGTGCGAGGTTCTTGATCATGCCAACTATCGCCACTGCCACCATGTCACACTGCTGCTTCTGCTGCTCCTCCCGAGCCTGCTTCTCCTGAACCTGATTCTCCCGAGCCTGCTTCCCCTGCTCCTTTCCCTGCTGCACCTTCTGCCCCTGCTGCACCTTCTGCCCCTGCTGCTCCTCCTCCTCTTCGTGCTCCTGTTGCTGCTGCTGATAACTTTTCGTGCCTTCCATTTCTCTTACATGCTGCTGCTCCTTCTCCTGCTCCTGCTGCTGCTTCTTCCCTTGATGCTGGTGTACCTGTTCTGCTTCTTTATCTTCTTCTTCCTCCTCCTCGTCCTCCTCCTCCTCCTCCTCCTCCTCCTCCTCCTCCTCCTCCTCCTCCTCCTCCTCCTCCTCCTCCTCCTCCTCCTCCTCCTCCTCCTCTATCTGTTTTTGCTGCTGATTCTCCTTCTCCACCCTCTCCTGCTGCTGCATGAGAAATTTGGATCAAGGTCGGCAAAAACAGAGTAGTAGATTGAGCGACTGTACTTGAGGCGTTATAAAAACAAGGGTGGAAGGAACAGGTGATAAGAAGAGGACAATGAAAGCTGGAAATTGAAAAGAGGGGCTTAGAATGCCAAGGTTGTGATTCAGGGTGACAGAGGCGATGTCAGCTTAACACTAGCCAAAGCCGCAACAACAATGGTGAGCAACAGTGAGAGGAGCAGGGGGACGGGGATTTGGTGCAAGGCCTGGCAAGGGAAGAACCCGACTAGCCTAGTACCTGTGATAGGATCCGAACAAGAGCTTGTAACGCAGATACTCTGGCCTGGAGAGCGGTGAGTGAGGAGAGGAGAGTTGCATAATGGCTTGGGAGGGTTGCACGCGTGCATGAGGGGGAGGTGGTGCTTGGCACATTGCTTGGTGTGCAGCTGTGAGTAGCAGTAGCAGGAACAGCAGCAGTAACAGGGAGTAGCAGTAGCAGTAGCAGTAGCAGTAGCAGTAGCAGTAGCAGTAGCAGTAGCAGTAGCTGTAGAAGCAGCAGCAGCAGCAGCAGCAGCAGCAGCAGCAGTAGCAGTAGCACTAGCAGCAGCATTAGTAGTGGCAGCCGTAGAAGCACTAGCTCCAGTGTTGTCCATTCGGCCTAAGTATAGCCCTTTTGTGCCAACTTGGGCCCTTGTAAGACGATGCAGCCACTCCCCTGGCCCATGATTCCCTCCCAGCGCCACCCTCGCATCGGATGCTGCTGTAGCTGTCTCTTCCGTAGCAGCGTGGGACCAGCCAGCTGTAGCAGGGGGCAAAAGGGGTCCTGCTGCTACAACCTCCTGCTTGCCGTCTCCTGCAGCATCTGTAGCACGGACTGAAGCCCTTGCTGCTGCAGCTGGTGCAGGCTTGGGAGAGGGCGGTTCGGAACCCGAACCAGCCCGGGATCGAAGCAAATCCTCAATGAGCCTGACGATGTCAGATGATGGGCCCACGGTAGATGGTAGTGCCGCAGTTGTTCTTCCCGTAAAGACTTGCGGACAACCAGCTATTAGTACCTGTCGGTCTACTCCCCAACGACAGGCATCTGTGGCATCGGCACGTGGACGACAGGCATCTGCATCGGCAACTGGACGACTGTCATCATCATGCAAGTCCGAATGGTTAACCAGGCGACTAGTGGCGGCACGTGGCCGGGGAGGCCGTGCAACTGCTGGCGATGGCTGGAGCTGCGGCGGCTGCGGCATGGTCGTCGGCGCTACCCTCCTTTCTAGTACTGACTTTTGAGACGTCTCAAAGATCGTTGCACCACTCCGTAGCAGCCTGGCTTCTACCTGTGAGGCCTGGAAGGCCTGCCGTTGAGCTGAACTCCCCGGTGGGTCACTGGGCCCTGAGGGTCCGTGGGAATGATGATGGGTTGGTGGCTGCTTTGGCATCGTGTCACCACCAGGCAGCAGCCTGCCATTCAACTGTGAGGCCCGGTAGGCCTGCCGTTGAGCTGAACTCCCCGGAGGGTCACCGGGACGACAGGGCCCCTGGGAACAGGGTAGCGGCTGCATTCTCATTGGTGCACCACCCCGCAGCAGCCTGCCTTCTACCCGTGAGGCCTGAGAAGCCTGCTGCTGGGCTGAAGGTCCCGGAGGGTCACTGGGATAGGGACCTTGGGAACCACGATAAGGTGGTGGCTGTACTCTCATTGTTGCACCACCCCACAGCAGCCTGGCCTCTATTACTGAGGCCCGGGAGGCCTGCATGCTGCCGACTGGCCGTTGAGCTGAACGCCCCAGAGGGTCACTGGGACGGGGACCTTGGGAATGAGTTGGTGGTTGCTCTCTCATCGCCGCACCACACGGCAGCAGCCTGCCGTCTACTACTGACGCCCGGAAGGCCTGCTGTTGAGCAGAACCCCCCGGAGGGTCATTGGGATTGGGATTGAGACCATCACCCAACAAACCCATGATGAAGGGGTGGTGGGTGATTTGGCAGCCCGGGTGCTGAGAGTTCCTGCTGGGGACGTGGCTGGGTGTTGTCATATCCTGGGGCAGTGCGAGAACCTGCTTTCCTGTCTGAGTCCTAGTACAGACCGCAGGGAGTGAGAGGCTTTCTTTAGTTGAAACGGCATTGCCCGCACCGGCGGTCTGCTGTGCGCACGGCCGGTTGCTCGGCCAGTCTCTCACGTGCAACCGGCGAAGAGAGGAGTCACGTGATTCATCTGCTGCGCCGCGGTAAGCATGCACGCACGTTTATATCAGTTATCTCCCATCTGGGGCCTGTACAAAGGAGTAGTAAGTACTGCTAATGATACGTCCTTAAAACAAGCACTACACAATGCGACAGTTAGGATGACCGTGTATAGGCGTGTGAGTACCAGAGTCTGGAAAATGCAGGTTGATCGACCTAGTACCTGATCCTGGGATAAGTATACTTATGGTATACTACTAGGATATACCCCAAGTTCCACCTTTCAATGGTGGACGTTGGGCGGCTCATCTCAGCCCCTATATTGAAAAGTTGTGAGATGATATAGCCAGAGTGGGCCGAGAACCGTTCTCAGCTGGTGCTTGGAAACTGGCTGGGGTGAAACCAGGGCCAATTGGAACCAAGGAAATGGAGGAACAGAAGCAGGACAGAACAGAACAGAACAGAACAGAACGGAACGGAACAGGACGGAACGGATCGGAACGGAGAACTGAGCGCCATTCTGAATGCGAGGTGTACTAGTTTCGTTTGGGAGGCTGAGGCCGGGGTTGGTGGTTGGGTGATTTCTGAAAGCCTGTGGTGCGGAATGGATGAAAGTTCTGCTGGTTGAGATATGAGATGATAGAAGCTCTATCATCATAGAATAGCTCTTCCGTTGTGAATAGAGGCGTCTGATCTGAATCCCACGCCCCTGCAGTCACTTCAGGGACAAGTGTTACAGTATCTTGTACAGTGCCCAGTTGAGGGGAAAATGTCTTGTTCTGCCACGCTAGGTTAGATCCGACATTCAGTTTTTGTCTGAGATCCAACGTGACCAATCATAGAGCGCCGACCATTTGGGGACCATCCTCCTGGCTACTCTGGTCGGCGGGGGAGGCCCACACAAGACGGAGTTGTTGGGAGGTTGTATGTAACCGCAATATACTTTGCTCTACGTGGTGGCCATTTATTGGCCGTCTCCAAGTTCGCCAAACGTTGGCGACAAGTCATCTTACCAAATCCCCCAGTTGCATTTTTTGGCACCGAGCGGAAATGAGTATCGTACAGTACTGTATGATACATGTCTCAAAATCGCCGAAACTTTTTGTGCTCCTACAAACAGTCGGTGTTGTGTACACAAGATGGTGTACAAGTATTACATTGCCAGCATCTGCAATCATCTACACCGCATATTGTAGCTGAACCACGCGCCAACTTGCACACTGAGTGCATTCTACACACGCATTTTTCCACAGGTGGTTCTTCGAGTGTATCCCACACAGGGTGCATTTGACCCATCAATTGCAGGTTTGCGTAAGATTATGCCCAGAGGAGGGTGAACAGATGTGCCACGAAGGGTGCCCCGAATAGTTGATGCTTTGACCAGAATTCAATGGGATGTTGTGATTCAGGAGGTTCGATGGGGAGGCGGACATTAAGATTTATATCATTAATACAGAAACATGTAAGATATGACGTTAGCCTCAAGCATGGAATAAGTAATCAGCATGAAAGCTCAGGAAAGAGCTCCGTAACTGAAAACGTACTCTCCACTGCATGAGCCCCCTCATTTTCCACTAATAAATGCATCAAGCTAATGTCCCCTCGTGTCTCAATCATCACATGTTCGCTGCTATTTTGCGCGAAAGACTCCGCCACCAGTGCCTCAACAGCACTCGCAGAATTTTTGTAGAGCAATCCAGCACACGGTTCAAGCATGGAACTTGCGATCGCAGGATTTTGGTGCGCATCCGTTGTGGCATCGTAACGACCTTGTGCGTTAACGTCGACTGTGTTACGGGGACCAGCATAGGGTAACTGATCACTTGCGCATGGGACAATCACAGGAGTATTCCCTGCGATGGGGGTTGCTTTGAACGGACCAGATTCCTCAGCCGGAGCAGTGCCGGTTTGCTGCACGTTGGATGGATCTGGGAGCAGCGTGCTCTGGGTAGCAAGCTCGTGGTGACTTGGAAAGACCTTCAAGTGGTTCGCAAGCTTGTCCTTTCGGCTGGCACGGCACAACAGTGGGATGAGGTGTGCAGGACACCAAGTCAACGAGAAAAAAACTAGCATGGGATACATGAGAAACATGACAAACTCACAAAAGCGGCATATCCTCGGAGGTATGATTTGAGATGATATGATATGATATGATATGATATGATATGATATGATATGATATGATATGATATGATATGATATGATACGATATGATATGATACGATACGATATGATATGATACGATACGATATGATATGATATGATATGATTTGATACGACGTGACGGAACTTGACATGATGTGACATGGCATGACATGATATGCAATGTACGGCAGAGGTACCACCGCCATACCTGAACGAGTTGCCGCAGGAGCACTGCCATCGCCGTGGTCCGCAGCGCCTCTCATGAGCCTCCAGGTCGGCCGGCAGGCAGAACGACTTGCTGCCGCACAGAGAGCACAGCAGCGCCTCACCCGCATGCGTGCGCCGGTAGTGGTTCCGCAGTGACGCCTTCGACTTGAACGCGCGGAACCCTGGGTGCTGCTCGTTGAACGGGCAGCCTGAAGCCGGGCAGCTGAAAATCTCCGACACAGCACCACCAATAGGAGGTCCGCACGGGTTTGCTCCTGTGGGTCCGGTCCCCTCCGCTGATTTCTCCTCGTCGCACCCAGCTTCCATGCCTCCCCCAGCTTCCATGCCTCCCCCAGCTTCCATGCCTCCCCCAGCTTCCATGCCTCCCCCAGCTTCCATGCCTCCCCCAGCTTCCATGCCTCCCCTAGCTTCCATGCCTCCCCCAGCTTCCATGCCTCCCCCAGCTTCCATGCCAGCCTGCAGATCAGGCTCCTCTGCAGCAACGGTAACTCCAAGGCCTGGAGACCTCACCCCACCGCACAAACTGCTTCGTTGGAGGGGTTTGGCATAGCAGATGGCTTTCGCAGCAGGCTCCGCTTCGCACGCGTTTTCGCGACCTCTCTTTCTCCCGACCACGATCGAATCCTGCGCTTCAGGAATCACGTCGCGCATTGGTGTTGCATCCAGCGCCTCTGCCCATGCCTCTTCGGCAGGCCCTTGCCGAGGCTCCCCAGGCTCGGCAACATTCGAGCTGGTTTTCAGGTCTGGAGAAATCAAGGTTGGTGCTTCCGGGGCAGCAGCAGTGTCGTTCGTAGTATCTGGAGGATTCAATGCCTCACGAGCCCCCCCCGGCTGTAGCAGGGGCTCGGCCTGCAGAACGGCCGCCTGCTCGTTGGGCGGCAGGAGCGAGACGGCCGCTACAGCCAGCTGCTGGATCATGGTCCCAACTGCTACAGCCGCCTGCTCGTAAGGCGGCGCGTCCCGAATCTTCAGCGCTGACGACGGCTGGAGGGGGAAACGTGGGGATTGCGGGGATTGGGATGTTAGGGTGTGATGTCGTGTGACGTCGCACTGACGACGACTGGAGGTGAAGGAGAAGGGTGGCTTCTACCGTCGTCCTCCGCAATCTACAGCAGATATTACCTAAAGAATCTCAATTACGGTCGGGATTTACCCGAGAGAATTAGAACCCTCTTGGCAAAAAGCTGAGCAAGAAAAAATATAAATGAACTGAATATACAAGTTTTGAGGCGCCTCAAAAATATACCTGAGCGAGCATCCCCAGCAGGGCCTGCAGATGAGACACGCGCGACTGGAGCACGGAGAGCGACAGGAGAAGCACTTGCGGCTCGATCACCGTCACCGTCGCGGCACGAGGCGCAGGCTCGATTGTCGCACGAGGCTCAATCGGCGCCGCGGCACGCACGTGAGGATCAGTCGACGCAACGGCCGGCGCATCATGCGGTCCGGTACAGAGATCGACGGTGAACCCTCCGTCGCGGCATTCGAGTGATGAGGAGGGCAGCGAGCCATGAGAGGAGGGGGAACATTCCTGACTAGTCACAGTGGTGATCATGATAACGTCGCTTTCTTGGTAACGTGGCGATTAAGTCACGGCGACGAACACGCTACTACCTCTATTATGCCTCGCTACCCACTGGGTCAAAACGAGGGCGCAGCGGAGGCCCCCAACCCTTACATATAAGCCCCCACAGGCGTTATAACCACTAATAGAGCGAAGAAACCCGCGCGACGCGAAGACACCTCGGTTCTCCGGAGGAAGAAGCTGAGAGAGGAGTAGCGAACACTGCTGCTGCTGCAGCGGCGGCGCTTCGGAGTTCAACCCTTGCCTTGCCTCTGGGACTCGGAGCAATAAGAGATCATGGGTATCCGAGGAGACAAGATGGTGATAAGCTATCAGCTCGCTTGAAACGAGTTGACCGCGTATCACGTGAGATTCCATGTCGGGGAATCTCTCGAATCTCCGACCTGTCGTGGCCGCTGTGATTGGCTGCGATTGTGGCCTGCTCTACTTGCGTGCTCCCACACGACCGCGGGAAATTAGCTGGAAGTAGCGGCGGTCGGTGCGTCGCAGAAACCCTTGCTTATCGCGAACCTGTTCCGAGCCAGAGTCGCCTGAAGACACGCTGGGAGCAGGCTTGGTGAGAAAGGAGGTATCTGCAGAAGTTGAGGGTGATGGGATATGGAACCGTTGAACCAGACTTGGTAGGGCGTGTTGTGGGAGGTGCGTGGCAAATCGCGGTTCATTTCGGTTCTCGTTGCTAAAACACAATTTCACCTGTTACTGCTTTGAAACGACGATACAGTCGATCTATCGCCCAACGGAATCGGGGGAGTTGTCCTCCGAAGGCGACACATCGAAGGCGACTGTGGTTGAGAGAGAGGGTGAGGAAATACACTCGTCAGTTTGAGGCAGTGTTGCTGGTTCGGAATCTGGTTTGGGAAGTCAAACCAAAACCAGGCGATCTGGTTCGTTCGCTGGTAGTTTGGGGGAGCTGTTCTGCCCAAACCGCGCCCCCGCGAACTGGTGGTCTGGCTCTCGCCATTTCTGCAGCACTGCAGGAATGTCACCAAAGCCGAGGCAGCGATATGAACGCGCGAAAAATACGGGCCAACCGAGGTATCGAAGGTTTTGCATACAATTGCGTAGGGTTACCATAATATTTTGCATGCCTATGATGTTGGCCCCGAAAAATACCAGTGAAACAGGTAGGGCTGTGTGGTTCGGCAGAACAAACTTCCTGGCTGGGGAAGCCACAACAAAACACGTGGTTGGTTTGGACGAGGGCGCCGCTGATGGAAGCTCACTCATCCATTTCCACCAGATAGTCCAAAAGCCACAGTTGGTTACATGTACATCAGGTTACTCATCTGTTGTCGGTGCGTGGAAATTGTGTTTCGCTGACCGAGCCTGTCGCCATCCTCACAGTTCTGGGCTGAATTCCAAATTCATTGTTGTGCTCGGAAACAGAACAGATTGCACATTACTGTACAGTTTTGGCTTCCCAAAAGCTGCAATTACAATCATTACCGTCAGGTGCTGACTGCATCACACTTTTGTGGGCTTGCAGTTGGCCTTTGGTGGCTGTCAGAGCCATGCCCCGATACAGCATAATGGAGTTTCATATTATTGTTGCCTGCAGATCCAAAGTATGATACAACATATTTCTATCCAGTATTCTGTTGGTGTTTCGAAGATGCGTTATTCGAAGACAAAAAAAAAATTCCTGCCACGTAGCAGATCCGACGTGCCACCATACAACTGCTCACCACTATTCGCAACGACCCGTTTTCCGTTCGCACAATATCGCGAACCCACTTCCCAGGCGAACCGGTTACATCACCTTTGCGAAATTTCCCGAATCCGCACCACCAGACATTTCTTTCACCCGCCGTCCTCAAATCTTTCCCTTTTTTCCGGCGATATTGTGAAGTCAACCCGTCTCATCACCAACCTCGTCGCCTACACAAGCCGCATCCGACTTGGCGCGTCTCGCCCAAAAACGTAGGCTTCACTTCGCCCAGTATAGTTTGCACGACAGTTCGCCGTTCCAACCACTCCCTCCCTTTTCCGCTCGTTCCCGCCATTTTCCGCATGGAGGCCGCCGTCGGCGGAGCGTTCTTCCGCGGCCACCCTGTGCGCCTCAACAGAGCGGGCTTTCCGCGCGATGCGCTGTTCGCAGGCCATTCCGGGAAGGTTGTAAGAGTAACCGCGTCGGCGGAGCAGCCGTCATGGCGCGCGAAGGCGGCGGCGGCGGGCGCAGGGACCGTGACGCAGGCTGTTGTGGCCGAAAGCGTGAGTCACGCCCGCTTTAGTCACACACATTCTTGAACCAGTTTTTTTAACAACCGAGCGGCATCTAATGCGGTCAAGATTATTGAAGCACTTGCATTCCCCTACATACAAGGCAAAGGGCTTGTTTTCTTTTTGTTTCTCCCCCTCCCTCACTACTTTCCCGTCGCGCTTTCATCCTTCCCCTTCCCCATGTCCCCGTTTTCACATCCAGTTGCGCTCGTCCCACCCCGTTCCGCATTCCCCGTTACGCTCACCCCTCTTTCCCCGGCCCCTTTTCCCGCATCTCCCCACTTCCCCCATTTGCCCCCCTCCCCATCCTCCGCGCCTCCGTTCCCCCATATTCCCCATCGCCCCAATCCCCAACCTCCCTCCCCCCTCAACCACCCCACCGCGCTCCTTCCCCAGCCCACTTCTGCGTTCTCCGCGTCCCCCTCTCTCTCCGCGGAACCGCAACGCGCAGCACCCGTATTTAACGGCGCCGCACCCGCAACAGCCAATGGGACCGCGCCAGCTGGCTCCGATACAGTGGCAGCCGGGCGCGCGGTGGCGATATACGACACCACGCTCAGGGACGGGTCGCAGGTGGGGGCCGAGTCGCAGGTGGGAGAGTGAATCGCATGGGTGGACGAATCGCAGGTGGGGGAGTGAATCGCAGATGAGAGAGGTGTGAGGATAGGTGGGCATGGTTGGGCATGGTTGGGCATGGGTGGGTATGGGTGGGCAATGGTGGGCATGGTGGGCATGGGTGGAAGGCTGGGCATGGAGGGCGAGGGTGGAGGGCAGGAATGGGCGGTGGCAGGTCCTTTCCTTCCCTCTCTGCTGCTTCTCTCTCCCTTGACTGCCCTCCGTCCCCATCCCCATCCCCATCCCCATTTCTCGGCCATACCACTTCCCCAGCACTGTCCCTCTCTACTCTCACTCTCACACTCCGATTTCCCCGTCCGTCCCGGCCAATCAGATGGTGGGAATCACCCTCTCAGTGGCGGACAAATTGCGTATAGCGGAGCTCTTAGAGGATCTCGGGGTTGACTATATCGAAGCAGGCTGGCCGGGATCCAATCCCAAGGACGCTGAGTTCTTCCAGCGCTGGAAAGCCCGGGAGGCGGCACGGGAGGGGATTGACAGGTTGACTGCAGCGGGAGGTGACAGTAACGAGGGGGAGAGGAGGCGGACGAAGCTGGCCGCGTTTGGAGCGACTCGTTATAAGAACACGACGTGCGAGAAGGACGCGAATGTTCAGGCGCTGGTGGAGAGTGGGGCGCCCGTGATCACCCTCGTGGCCAAGGTACGGTGGTGTGGTGTGACTGTAACAAGGGACCAAGGGCCAAGGCACGGTGGTTTTTGAGACGTCTCAAAAACAACCTCATCACACAAGGCACGGTGGCCACGATAGAAGGCACAATGCGCTACTTGCCTGCTCTGCTCTCTCATCTCCCTCCTCCCCTGCCCTTTTGCTGCCTCCTTCCCTCCTGTCTTAGGCGTGGGACGCCCAAGTGCTGAAAGTGCTGGAAGCAATGCTAGAGGAGAACCTGGCGATGATTGAATGCACAGTTTCTCGTTACATCACAGGTTTACATACCCCTGGAAGCAACGCACAGTGCAGTGCAGTACTTGCCGGCCAGGGGCCTCTGCCTTTCTCCCCCCCCCCCCCCTATCCCCTTTATCACACTCTTATCATCCCCTCTGCCACCCTGTCTAACCCCCCCCCTGCCACCAGGCGTGGGACGCCCAGGTGCTGAAATTGCTGGAGGCGACACTAGAGAGGAATCTGGCGATGATAGAGGACATGGTGCGCTTGTCCCCCCTCCCCACGAACCCCATTCCCACCAGGCGTGGGACGCCCAGGTGCTCAAGGTGTTGGAGGTAACCCTGGAGGAGAACTTGGCGATGATAGACGACACGGTGCGCTATTTCACGGCCATGGACCTGTTTTCTCCCATCCCCCTATCACCCTCTTTGCATCGCCAGGCGTGGGACGCTCAGGTGTTGAAGGTGCTGGAGGCGACATTGGAGGAGAATCTGGCGATGATAGACGACACAGTGCGCTACTTCACGGCCATGGGCCGTCACGTCATGCTGGACGCAGAGCATTTCTACGACGGCTTCTCCGCCAACCCGTGAGCCCGCACTCGCCTCTTCCCCCTCCCCAACCCCCTATCTTGGAATTCTCAGAAGTCACTTTCTCTTTGTTGACCTCCTCACTAGTGTCACCTTCTCTTTTGTCCCTTTCGCCCTCCCTGGTCTCGTTCAAGCCAGTCCTCTCTTTCAGCCCCTGCTCTCCTACTTCCTTGCCCTCTCCCCCCACTCTTGCTGTCATGCCCCCATGCCCCTTGCCCTCTTCTCCCCCCTTGGCAGCGAGTATTCGATGCAGTGTGTGCGGGCGGCAGCAAGGGCGGGTGCGAAGGAGATTGTGCTGTGTGACACTAACGGGGGCTCCATGCCATGGCGCGTGCATGTGAGTCTTGCCTCATAGCATGCCATGCCATGCCACATGCATGCAATGCCACATGCCATGCCATGCCATGCCATGCCATGCCATGGCGCGTGGCACACAGCATGTCATGTGTCCATCCTATCACCTCTTCAAGACTTGTAACCTCACATTACCACGACTTTTTAGGTGCCTCAAAAGGTGTCATGTGTCCATCCTATCAGCTCTTCAAGACTTCTAACCTCACATTACCACCACTTTTAGGTGCCTCAAAAGGTGTCATGTGTGTCTTACCACTTTCCGCTCCGCATTCCCCTTCTTCCATATCCCCTTCAGGAAGTGACCCGTTTTGTGGTTGAAGAACTAGCACGGGGAGCAGTGGAGGGCGAGTGGGGGAGTGATGCGGGCGTGGGAGTGCACTGCCACAACGACTGTGGCATGGCTGTGGTTAACAGTGTGGAGGCCGTGAGGGCAGGCAGGGATAAGGACTGTGGCACGTTGCTTTAATACGTCTCAGATTCACCCTCCTGCACCCCTTTCCCTCCCCTCCCCTTCCATACCCGCTATAGGAGGTCACCCGTCTAGTAGTAGAAGAACTAGCAAGAGGGGCAGTGGAGGGCGAGTGGGGGAGTGATGCGGGCGTGGGAGTGCACTGCCACAACGACTGTGGCATGGCCGTGGCTAACAGTGTTGAGGCCGTGCGGGCCGGGGCGAGAGTGGTGCAGGGGTGTATCAATGGGTACGGGGAGCGCACCGGCAACGCTGATATCGTGAGTCCTAAGGATCATCAAGGCGGGCGTTGATGTGAATGGTTGGGTGCAGGTTTTCTGGGTGCTGTTTGTTCACATGTGCTGTTTGTTCACATGTGCTGTTTGTTCACATGTGCTGTTTGTTCACATGTGCTGTTTGTTCACATGTGTGTGTTTCTCGCTGTCACTGCAGTTTTTCCCCTTCCCTCCCCCCCTCCCTCCCTCCCTCCCTCCCTCCCTCCCAGGTCACCGCTATCGGCATCCTGCAGGTGAAGCTGGGGTGCGAGTGCCTGCCTCGGGATTCGCTCGCCCGGCTGGCGGAGATCTCCGCGGAGATTGCGCGGGTGGCGGGCCAGCCGCCCAACCCCGCCCAGCCGTTTGTGGGCGCCAACGCGTTCGCCCACAAGGGGGGGATCCACGTTGCTGCTCTCAGAAAGGTGCGCGTTGTGGGTGAGGTGGTTGCTTGGGTAGGGCACATGTCAGCCCCGCACGGCCGTTTGCGGTCGCCAACCAACGCGTTCGCCCACAAGGGGGGGATCCACGTTGCTGCTCTCAGAAAGGTGCGTTGTGGGTGAGGTGGTTGCTTGGGTAGGGCACATGTCAGCCCCGCACGGCCGTTTGTGGTCGCCAACCAACGCGTTCGCCCACAAGGGGGGGATCCACGTTGCTGCTCTCAGAAAGGTGCGCGTTGTGGGTGAGGTGGTTGCTTGGGTAGGGCACATGTCAGCCCCGCACGGCCGTTTGTGGTCGCCAACCAACGCGTTCGCCCACAAGGGGGGGATCCACGTTGCTGCTCTCAGAAAGGTGCGTTGTGGGTGAGGTGGTTGCTTGGGTAGGGCACATGTCAGCCCCGCACGGCCGTTTGTGGTCGCCAACCAACGCGTTCGCCCACAAGGGGGGGATCCACGTTGCTGCTCTCAGAAAGGTACGATGCGTGGCTGGCAGCGCTGGGGCTGTTGCTTGGGGGCCAGTATGTGGGTGTTCAGCGCTGCCAGCCGTTTGTGGGCGCCAAGCCAACTCGTCCGCCCACAAGGGAGGGATGCACGTGGCTGCTCTCAGAAAAGTGAGTTTCTGTTTCCACTCGCCACGGTGGGTCAGCTTGTAGCTTGCAGGCTGTAGCGACTGTGAGAACAACCACTGCGGCCCGTGCCCTGCGGATATACCCTTGGCAATAAGCCATCCGCCATGTAGACTGGATGAGCTGCAGTCGGGAAGTCACTTTTAGCAAAAGAAAAACAGTAGTACTAATCTGTATGTTGTACCCTGCTAAGTGCCAAGAAAATCAAGAAAACCGAACTCTCGATTCCACTAAAGAGATTAAAACGCAAACATGTTTCGGCTGACTGGGACAGGCCCCACGTCAAACCTTCATCAGTGCTAAACCTTCTCCTTAGAAACTGCTGCTCGCTGGGATGTCTGAACATGTGCAGGCTGTAGCGACTGTGAGAACAACCACTGCGGCCCGTGCCCGGCGGATTTTTGAGTCGACTCAAAAATCGACTAACTACACCCGCGCCCGGCGGATATACCCTTGGCAATAAGCCATCCCTTGTGGGCGACGCCATGTGCTCTCCGACCTCTCATTTCAAGGCACACCTATTCCCCCCCCTCAACCCTCCTTCCAGATACCAGATGCCTGAGAGCTACAACCACTGCGATCCATCTCTCGCGGGCAATGCCATGCTAAGGAACATTCTTGATAAAACGGAGAGAGCGGGGCTGGACGTGGGGAGGGAGGAGGCGGGTCTGAAAGAGCAGGGCTGAGAGCTACAACCCCAACACACACTTCCCGCCCCAACCCCCCCACCAGATGCCTGAGAGCTACAGCCTACAACCACTACGACCCCTCTCTTGTCGGCGACGCCATGCGCTCGGTAGTCTCAGACCTGTCTGGCTGGGGCAACTTCCTCGAGAAGGCAGAGCGCTGCACCCTCTGACCCGCTGCACCGCACTGCACTCCTCCCTTACCCACCAGATGCCTGAGAGCTACAACCACTGCGATCCCTCTCTCGTGGGCAACGCCATGCGATCAGTGGTCTCAGATTTATCTGGGCGGGGCAACATTCTGGAGAAGGCAGAGCGGGCGGGGCTGGACCTGGGCAGGGAGGAGGCGGGGCAGGTGTTGGCGCGGATCAAGCAGATGGAGGCACGGGGGTTCGCCTTTGAGAATGCCGCTGCTTCTGTTGACATGCTGATTGTGCGGCGAGGGGCGCGCTACCAGATCCCGTGAGTTGCTTCGCCTGCTCTTGCGTCTCCTTCATCTTGCGTCTCCTTCATCTTGCGTCTCCTTCATCTTGCGTCTCCTTCATCTTGCGTCTCCTTCATCTTGCGTCTCCTTCATCTTGCGTCTCCTTCATCTTGCGTCTCCTTCATCTTGCGTCTCCTTCATCTTGCGTCTCCTTCATCTTGCGTCTCCTTCATCTTGCGTCTCCTTCATCTTGCGTCTCCTTCATCTTGCGTCTCCTTCATCTTGCGTCTCCTTCATCTTGCGTCTCCTTCATCGCTCCACCTCACCTGCTGCACTCAAGGAGGGAAGGGAAGCGAAGGCGGTGGGCAGAGATGGCTCCAGGTGTCTGCCATCTCTGCCCACCGCCTTCGCTTCCCTTCCCTCCTCTTCCCCAAAACACCCACCCCACACACCCACCAATCACCAGCTCCCACGTGCTCGAGTTGTCTGTCATCTCCACTGATCGCCTTTGCTTCCCCTAACCCCTTTGTATGAAGATCTCCTTGTATGAACACCCCTTTGTATTTCTTTTGAGACGTCTCGAAACAAATCTTCATACTCGTGGCAACACTGATCGCCTTTGCTTCCCCTAACCCCTTTTCCTACAACCTATCCCACCCATCCCATCCCACCAATCCCACCCAACACCAATCACCAGCTTCCACGTGTTGAATTCTCTGTCATCTCCACCAATCCCCTTTGCTCCCTTCCCTTCCCTTCCCTTCCCTTCCCTTCCCTTCCCTTCCCTTCCCTTCCCTTCCCTTCCCTTCCCTTCCCTTCCCTTCCCTTCCCTTCCCTTCCCTTCCCTTCCCTTCCCTTCCCTTCCCTTCCCTTCCCTTCCCTTCCCTTCCCTTCCCTTCCCTTCCCTTCCCTTCCCTTCCCTTTCCTTCCCTTCCCCATCCCAACCACCCACGCACCCACCAATCACCAGCTTCCACGTGTTGGAGTTCTCCGTCATCTCCACCAACCGCCTGGGCGTTCCACAGCCCGTGAAAGGCAGCAGCAGCAGCAGCAGTGGGGAGAGCGGGTGGGAGAGCAGCGATGCGAGCGATGAGGAAGGAGGAGGGGAGGGGAGGCAGGGGGGGAGTAGGGAGAGGAGAGAAAGGAGGAGGCGGGAGAGGGCGAGTGAGAGGGAGGAGGCGGCGGTGGTGGCCGAGAGTGAGTGGATGGAGGGCGCCAGCTGTAACAGTCAGGCCATTGTGAAGGTCCAAGTGGGCGGCATCAGCCAGGTACGGGCTTATGATTGTATTGCAGTGTTTCTCTCCCTGCTTTCTGCTCCTCTAACCCTCCCTCCCCTACTGCTGCTCCCATCCGTGAGTGAAGCGGTTCTTCACACGTCTCAAAAACCGTCTTTTGTGTCTGTCTCCTTGCCTTCCTCTTCTTACCCACCCACCCTACCCCCCCCCCCTCCCTGCCTTCCTCTTCTTACCCACCCCCCCCCCTCTCCCTGCCTTCTTACCCCTCCCTCCCTGTCTGTGCTGTGACCATCAGATGAGTGCAGCGGAGGGCAACGGACCAGTCGACGCCCTCAACCATGCCCTGCGGTGAGTGTGACTGTAACGAGTTCTGCAATGGGTGTGACTGTCATGAGCTGTGCGGTGAGTGTGACTGTAAAGAGTGCTGTGGTGGGTGTGACAGTAACGAGTTGTGTGGTGGGTGCAGTTCAGCATTCCGTGCATCTGAGCGTGATGCTGTGCCTGTGATTCAATCATTCACGTGATTCAATCATTCACGTGATTCAATCATTCTCTACCTTCACCTGTATGTTTCACCCCGCCCATAACCCCTCCATTCCGCCTGAAGCTTTTCAGGTTGGAGCTTGTAGTAGATGCGTCGGGAGAAACACTCAACCGCTCCCTGCCCTCGTTTCCCACCTCACTCCTTTGCACCACTCTCAACCGCGCAGGGCGTCGTTGGATCCCCACTTCCCCCAGCTATCCCAAGTAGAGCTGGTGGACTACCGAGTGCGCCTGCTAGAACCCACAGAGAGGCGCAGCGGCACCATGTCCACCACTCGGGTCACCATCGACTTCTGTGATAAGAGCACAGGAGCCACCTGGACCACGGTATGTTGGGGGTTGAGAGTGGCTGAGTGCGGTGGAGTGTGGTGGTAGGGTGTGGGTTAATATGAGGGGAGAGGCGCAGCGGCACCATGTGTGCAGTGCGGTGCAGCACGGTGTTGGGTGTTGTGTTGGTACGATGGGAGAGGCGCAGCGGCACCATGTCCACCACTCGCGTCACCATCGACTTATGTGATAAGAGCTTCGGGGCCACGTGGACCACGGTAGGTAGGTGGGGTGCGGTTGAGTGGTTTGGTTTTGGGTGTTTGATGGGTGCAGTGCGGTGGTGTGGTGTGGTGTGGGTACAAGGGTAGAGGCGCAGCGGCACCATGTCCACCACGCGGGCCACCACCGACTTCTGTGATAAGAGCTCAGAGGCCACGTTGACCACGGTAAGTGTGCAGTGCAGCGCGGTGCGGTGTGGTGCGGTGAGGTGTGGTGAGATGATTGGTGGGGTAAGGCAGCGGCACAATGTCCACCACTCGGGTTACCATTGTCTTCTGTGATAAGAGCACAGGAGCCACGTGGCACCATGTCCCCCACGCAGGTCCCCCTTATCTCCTCCCCTCCTCCCCCTCCCCTTCTCTCCCCTTCCCTCGCCGCTCTCCCACCAGGTGGGAGCACACTCATCCATCGTGGAGGCCAGTTTCCGCGCGCTCATAGACGGACTGGAATTCGGCATCGTCAACTGCAACGAGGTACTGACTTGTGACAAAGTACTGTAGATGCAACGTGGAGCTGAAGGTGATGAAAACAAGTACTGGACTTGGTATATTGCCATGAAAAAGGTCTCTGATTGGAGTTTGTGTGAACTTCTCTGCCTTTCTTCTGCCTCCACTGCTCCCGCCCAACGAACCTCCCTTCACCTCTGTCAGCTTCCTCCCTCCCACCCTTGTTCCCATCCCACCCCCGCCTCTCACCAGTCGGGGTGCAAAATCTGAAATGGCACGCCGTGAAGCGGCACGCCGGGAAATTTACCCTGGAAATCAACCACTGTCATGCAAGTCAGGTGCAACGGAGGCATGCATGCGAGCTTGCCAAGGCATCGTCACGAGTCATGCCAATGGGCTCTGGTCCCACAGTATGCCCCTGCGGCCTGACTCAGCCCTTCTGTTTCTCAGAGGCTTTTAGCGGAAGAATACGCCCATGCATGCTGCACATGTTGGTGTGATCTCTAAGCCGACTCAAACTGCGCCACGTGGGAGTGGAGGTATTGGGCTCGCGTGTGTGCTCACGTGAACGGGTCAAAGTATGAGGCCATCTAGCTACCGTGCGAATGAATTGCTTATACCGTAGGAACCTCAAATCAAATGCTGCAGGCACGTGTAAGGTCGCACATGCTTCTCTGAAGATCTACATGCTTCCAAGGCCCCTAGGTGGCCTTTCTTGCAGCTTCTTGCGTGTTCCCCTGTTGTATCCCCGCAAAAGGGATTGTGTTGTTGCATATTGCGTTGTTACCAATACCGTAGTTGTTTGTACCGGTTCCATGTGTGGATGAGAATGTATACCGTACTGGACCTTGGCATCCTCCTGCACTCCCTTTGGGCGATGTTCGGCTGCCACAGGGGATCGACCGAGGGATGGGGGGAGGGATCAGATTTGCAGCTAGGGTTTCTAGTTCGGGGTGGTCAGCTCGGAGTCAACCGTCGTTGACTCCAAGTCTGGAGTCCAGGCGGAAGCGGTAAGTTTGGGGGGAAAGGCGCGGACGAGCGACTCGGGAAATGGGGGCCCACGAAACTGCAGCCGCGCGAAACGAAGCTTCGCGAGCTGAACAGTTTTCCCGAATTTACTGTTGCGTTTTTTTTGGGTAGCTTGCTCTACTTCAATTCAGTGCACCATAAATTATTTGAAGGGTGTAAAGGACGATTCGACCTTATTTAATTTTAGCGAAATCATTTTGAATCTGTGTAATTAGCATTATAATTTCAATGTCCAGGTTATTTGTTTTTTAGAGTGTGGAGAAAATGTATAAACGAAAATTGTGAAAGGGGCATGGATTTTTCATTCCCCGTGGGCTGAGACCACCCACGGGAATACACTTTCCATGCCCTGAACACTAGGGCGGAGTTTTTCCGCCATGGGGGGGAATTGGGGGGAGGACGCGACGCGGGTTCAAGCCTAGCGCGGGGGCCGCGTCGCGTTTTAGGCTCACGTCCGACACTTTTTTCACAATTTTCATGTCTGACCGAAGTGTTCTGCCTGGTTCGAACAGGTCGAACCAGGAGGCTCGGCGTTCTGATGCTCCATCCCATCCCCTCCCTCCATCCCCTGTGGCAGCCGAACATCGCCTTGATAAGGCATGCATACCGTAGCTAGTTACAGGTTATCCAGATTTCTTGTGAACATGAGGAGGTGAATTTGAGGCGGCTACATGCATTATCGAAGCAGGACAGAACCTGAACCGGGGGGGGCTGCCATCTGTTGGGGTGGGGGGTCTGTGACTTGTGATGTGGGGCGGGTGTCAAGTTCAACCAGTGGCGATGTTTCAGAGGACTCTCCTGCACTCAAGTACATACATACCAAGTACCATATACGGTAGCACAACACACACAACTTCCAGGTGTGCCTCTTGGCCACGACGCTTCGGGTTAAACGCGTGAATGTTAGCGGCATGAGTATAGCATGACTTGTAAATGTGGAAGCGGAGGCAATTAGGTGAACTTCTTGACTTGTGTTGATTTGTGTTGACTAGTGTGTCTTTGGCCATCTGTTGCTGCAGTGCTGCTCTCCCTGTCAGCTGCTCTCGCTACTGCGTATCCACGGGTGACCTGCATTGAAGGGTGAAGCGTGGGGAGAAAGGTAGAGTACACATGAGGTTCATGCATGCACACAGCAAGTGATGTGTAGGGCAGGGATGTATAGGGCAGGGATGTATAGGGCAGGGATGTATAGGGCAGGGATGTATAGGGCAGGGATGTATAGGGCAGGGATGTATAGGGCAGGGATGTATAGGGCAGGGATGTATAGGGCAGGGATGTATAGGGCAGGGATGTATAGGGCAGGGATGTATAGGGCAGGGATGTATAGGGCAGGGATGTATAGGGCAGGGATGTATAGGGCAGGGATGTATAGGGCAGGGATGTATAGGGCAGGGATGTATAGGGCAGGGATGTATAGGGCAGGGATGTATAGGGCAGGGATGTATAGGGCAGGGATGTATAGGGCAGGGATGTATAGGGCAGGGATGTATAGGGCAGGGATGTATAGGGCAGGGATGTATAGGGCAGGGATGTATAGGGCAGGGATGTATAGGGCAGGGATGTATAGGGCAGGGATGTATAGGGCAGGGATGTATAGGGCAGGGATGTATAGGGCAGGGATGTATAGGGCAGGGATGTATAGGGCAGGGATGTATAGGGCAGGGATGTATAGGGCAGGGATGTATAGGGCAGGGATGTATAGGGCAGGGATGTATAGGGCAGGGATGTATAGGGCAGGGATGTATAGGGCAGGGATGTATAGGGCAGGGATGTATAGGGCAGGGATGTATAGGGCAGGGATGTATAGGGCAGGGATGTATAGGGCAGGGATGTATAGGGCAGGGATGTATAGGGCAGGGATGTATAGGGCAGGGATGTATAGGGCAGGGATGTATAGGGCAGGGATGTATAGGGCAGGGATGTATAGGGCAGGGATGTATAGGGCAGGGATGTATAGGGCAGGGATGTATAGGGCAGGGATGTATAGGGCAGGGATGTATAGGGCAGGGATGTATAGGGCAGGGATGTATAGGGCAGGGATGTATAGGGCAGGGATGTATAGGGCAGGGATGTATAGGGCAGGGATGTATAGGGCAGGGATGTATAGGGCAGGGATGTATAGGGCAGGGATGTATAGGGCAGGGATGTATAGGGCAGGGATGTATAGGGCAGGGATGTATAGGGCAGGGATGTATAGGGCAGGGATGTATAGGGCAGGGATGTATAGGGCAGGGATGTATAGGGCAGGGATGTATAGGGCAGGGATGTATAGGGCAGGGATGTATAGGGCAGGGATGTATAGGGCAGGGATGTATAGGGCAGGGATGTATAGGGCAGGGATGTATAGGGCAGGGATGTATAGGGCAGGGATGTATAGGGCAGGGATGTATAGGGCAGGGATGTATAGGGCAGGGATGTATAGGGCAGGGATGTATAGGGCAGGGATGTATAGGGCAGGGATGTATAGGGCAGGGATGTATAGGGCAGGGATGTATAGGGCAGGGATGTATAGGGCAGGGATGTATAGGGCAGGGATGTATAGGGCAGGGATGTATAGGGCAGGGATGTATAGGGCAGGGATGTATAGGGCAGGGATGTATAGGGCAGGGATGTATAGGGCAGGGATGTATAGGGCAGGGATGTATAGGGCAGGGATGTATAGGGCAGGGATGTATAGGGCAGGGATGTATAGGGCAGGGATGTATAGGGCAGGGATGTATAGGGCAGGGATGTATAGGGCAGGGATGTATAGGGCAGGGATGTATAGGGCAGGGATGTATAGGGCAGGGATGTATAGGGCAGGGATGTATAGGGCAGGGATGTATAGGGCAGGGATGTATAGGGCAGGGATGTATAGGGCAGGGATGTATAGGGCAGGGATGTATAGGGCAGGGATGTATAGGGCAGGGATGTATAGGGCAGGGATGTATAGGGCAGGGATGTATAGGGCAGGGATGTATAGGGCAGGGATGTATAGGGCAGGGATGTATAGGGCAGGGATGTATAGGGCAGGGATGTATAGGGCAGGGATGTATAGGGCAGGGATGTATAGGGCAGGGATGTATAGGGCAGGGATGTATAGGGCAGGGATGTATAGGGCAGGGATGTATAGGGCAGGGATGTATAGGGCAGGGATGTATAGGGCAGGGATGTATAGGGCAGGGATGTATAGGGCAGGGATGTATAGGGCAGGGATGTATAGGGCAGGGATGTATAGGGCAGGGATGTATAGGGCAGGGATGTATAGGGCAGGGATGTATAGGGCAGGGATGTATAGGGCAGGGATGTATAGGGCAGGGATGTATAGGGCAGGGATGTATAGGGCAGGGATGTATAGGGCAGGGATGTATAGGGCAGGGATGTATAGGGCAGGGATGTATAGGGCAGGGATGTATAGGGCAGGGATGTATAGGGCAGGGATGTATAGGGCAGGGATGTATAGGGCAGGGATGTATAGGGCAGGGATGTATAGGGCAGGGATGTATAGGGCAGGGATGTATAGGGCAGGGATGTATAGGGCAGGGATGTATAGGGCAGGGATGTATAGGGCAGGGATGTATAGGGCAGGGATGTATAGGGCAGGGATGTATAGGGCAGGGATGTATAGGGCAGGGATGTATAGGGCAGGGATGTATAGGGCAGGGATGTATAGGGCAGGGATGTATAGGGCAGGGATGTATAGGGCAGGGATGTATAGGGCAGGGATGTATAGGGCAGGGATGTATAGGGCAGGGATGTATAGGGCAGGGATGTATAGGGCAGGGATGTATAGGGCAGGGATGTATAGGGCAGGGATGTATAGGGCAGGGATGTATAGGGCAGGGATGTATAGGGCAGGGATGTATAGGGCAGGGATGTATAGGGCAGGGATGTATAGGGCAGGGATGTATAGGGCAGGGATGTATAGGGCAGGGATGTATAGGGCAGGGATGTATAGGGCAGGGATGTATAGGGCAGGGATGTATAGGGCAGGGATGTATAGGGCAGGGATGTATAGGGCAGGGATGTATAG